GAGAGAGAGAGAGAGAGAGAGAGAGAGAGAGAGAGAGAGAGAGAGAGAGAGAGAGAGAGAGAGAGAGAGAGAGAGAGAGGGCCTCGCTCCACAACTCACGATAAATACCCAGACCCCATTCAACTTTGCACAGTACCCAATGTTTCCCCTGTATGAAATTATAGACGTACCAGTCTTGTAGGCCCTCCGTTCCAGACCACAAAATATGCTCATGCCCATAAATCAAGCTGAAAATTTGTGAGTGTACCCACAGGCAGGGGTGCACCTTGGATGGCGGACCACAAAATTTTGCTTATGTCCACCAAGTGAACCATTGTCGCCCAATGACTGCTGGGTATGAGCATAATTTCAACCATTTGGTAGCAGGGTATATGAATAGTTTGGTCGGTCCACCTCAGTCCCAGGTATGCTTATAACGTTGTCTGGACATGTCTGGGCATGTCCATCATTTGTGCATTCCGCTAGTTGGTTATAACTGCAATTTTGTGGTACCAACCGTGTTCCACCTCGGTCATGGGCATGCAAATAATTTCCATCGGCCCTTTTTTGGGCATAGATGTAAGTTGGTGCTGGGAGTGGGTATACCGGGTATTCCCATCTTTAAGTGGGATACAAATGCAATTTTCCCTTGTTTTGATGGTTGCTGATGGCGGGGACACTTTGGTTTGACGGTCGTTGGTGGCGGGGAGATGGGGCTTATGGTGCCCGAACGGCCTTGGCGATCTGAGGCAATGGCAGGCAGCTCCGACCAATGGGTATAGCTCAATTGGTACACCCATGAATTATCCTAGCACAGAGTTGTGTTGGAATCTAGAGAGACCTACATGAATTATCTGAGGCTGGTCAGTTTTATCTCAAGCCTGTCACCCTGTCATTTAAGGCTTGAAAAAAATAAGGGTCACGCTGGATTTACACGAGGGGCACATGGAGGTGAAAAAGGGGCCAAACCGAAGTATAGCCTGACCCTAATACTATTTACTAGGCTTGCCTACAGGTCTTGGGTCACCCAGGCCAAACCTCTACCCAGTTGTAACCAGACCCGAGGCAAACCTTTACGCGTCCGCTCGGGCACTATTTCAACACCCAGCCACACCCACTCTACGGTTTTTTGCCCCGACCATGTCACCCCCTCAGATTTCATACCCAGCCACACATGTGCATGCTAATTTTGCCATACCCACACCGGTCCAAAACGGCGGGGTACAATTTGGGTCGGGCCACAGACACCTGATGTCAACCTCTGCTGTCGGACCATACTCAGGGTGTAATCACTTTTTTTTTTTTTTTTTTTTTTT